TCTTACAGTCATCTTGGATGTGAGCCATTTGCATCTTTTGCACAAAATTACTCTGAAAAGTAAGTCAAAAATTACATTTTGTACATTGGAAATGTCACTATTCATTGTGTGTGTTATTATTCTAAGTATAAATATAACATTAATTATGTTTTTTTTTCTTGGGAGAATTTTATGTCTGACAGTCTCTCCTGAATTTTATGGCCTTTGGAGAATATTTCACTTTTCCTTCTCCTTGGCAGTCAAAAACCTATGAACAATGCCTTGACCTATTCCCTTGCTGAGAAAGGACTACTTAGGATATTGAAGGTTATCTTCTTTAATGAGTTCATCCAGTCTCATTAAATCTTAGAGTTACAATACACCTTCAAATCATCAACTCTAATCCTTTCTCAGAAAAGGAAAGATGAAGTGACTTTTTTCACAGTCACACAGTGATTATGTGACAAAGGAGAACAAAATGTAGACTTTTGATTATGAGAGGAGCATTATTTCTTCTTAATTTTCAATAGTTTCCTTTGCTTATTCAATAGTGATAAATCACACTGTCAAAAAGATCAGCAAAGAACTGAATGGGTAATATTTTCCATGAAGCTACTTTTGAAATTTTGTCTCATAAGAGAGAAAAAGTAAATCAAACAGGAGCAACAATTCTCTTACCCATTATCGCAATCAGGCAACTGAGCAACATTTCCCTAAAGCATTCACTGTAAAATGCAATTTCTGAGGGATAATTACAAATTCATGTCTCCCCAAAGTACTCGGATAAAATATGTGGATATTAGTTAACCAAATGCTAGTAAAATTGGAAGAAATGCGTTCTTATTGCAGTGCAAGGAAAGCTATCTTTTCCCCTGCTTCCTTATTTCACAGATGTTCTATATACCCCCCAAATATATCCCCAAATTTTTTTCTAGAAGTACAATTGTAAGGTGAAGTAATCACTCATTTGAATCCCAGAATTCAAGGATGAATTTGAAAACTCCTTAACTTGGAATATTGAGGCTGCTGTGCTCACTGTCTGACTTTGAAGCCTGACTCTAAGATATGTATTTCCCCCCAGATCTTGTTTGTTCTGTGATTTAATGCACACAAAAGACAGTGAAATTACTTTCCTAACTCTTAATAAAATCCTGATGTCAGTATCATGCAGGATTCTAGCACTCTGAGGTAAAGTTCCTCCTCCCATTTGTTTGAGACAACACTATCATGTCTCAGAGTTCAAAAGTGGTACGGACCTATTCAGATGGTTTCCAATTATCCTAACGATCATATTGTGTTATCCTTTGTTTCTGTATACATTCCAATTGTCCCTGAGTAAGACTCAATATTGACATAAAAAGATATTTCCTCAGTTTATTACTGACACTCATTAAACTGTTTCAGTTGATGATCAGCTTTTCTTTCCTTCTTTCAGACCAGTAATAAGAGAATTACCCACCACAGGAATATAGCTTTCTTACTTTTTGATTTTTCCTTTTCTTAGTTTCACATTCTCTTTCCTGGAGGGAATGGCCAGTTACAATTATTGTACCATGACTGAATTTGTCCTTGAGAGATTAACAGTCCAACCAGAAGTCCAGCTGCCACTATTCTTCTTTTTTCTAGTCATCTATGGAGTCACGATAGTGGGAAAACTGGGTATGATCCTCTTAATCACTTTCAGTTCAAACCTGCAATGTCCCATGTACTTTTTCCTGAGTAATTTGTCATTCTTAGTTGTTTTATTCTTCAGTTGTTACCCCCAAGATGCTGAGAAACTTCATGTGGGAGCAAAATATTATCTCCTATTCTGGATGCATGACACAGCTTTTTTTCTTTTGTGTTTTTGCTATTGCTGAGTGCTATATGCTGACTGCTATGGCCTACGATAGATATGTAGCTATCTGTAAACCACTGCTGTACAATGTCACCATGTCCCGAAAGGCATGCAATGTACTGGTGGCAGGAGTCTATGTCATTGCAACTTTTGGAGCTGAGGCCCATACTGCTTCTATGGTCAGGCTTTCCTTCTGTAGGGACAATGTCATCCATCAGTATTTTTGTGACATACTTCCTCTCCTAGAGCTGTCCTGCACCAACACCTACCTCAATAAGCTGCTGTTCATATTTGTAGGTGGATTCAACATGGTAGCAACAGCTGTGCCCATCACCATCTCTTATGCCTTTATACTCACCACCATTCTTCAAATACCCTCATCTGAGAGCAGATTCAAAACATTTAGTACATGTGGGTCTCATCTTATGGCTGTTGGCATCTTCTATGGATCTATAATATTCATGTACTTTAAGCCAGCATCTAGTAACAACATGGCCCAGGAGAAGGCAGCATCTGTGTTCTATACCACAATAATTCCCATGCTGAACCCTTTGATCTACAGTTTGAGGAATAAGGATGTAAAGAAGGTATTGAGAAAAGTCATGAGGAAAAGGTATGCCCCACCCTAGAGTTAATATCAGAACAATTTAAGGTCATGATGATAGTTTGTCCCTTTGGTTTTCTTAAAATTAACTTCCCTTTCTGTTTTATTGATTAATAGCCTGGTCTTCCTTCCTCTACCACAAGTAATAGATGTTACCCTTTTATTGAAGCTTAAGAAAACACACACATATACACACACACACACACACACAAACACACACACCTTGAGTAAACTATATCAAGGTAGTATGATTCCTTAAATTCTTGATAAGTCTTTCTTCTATTTGGGGCAGATTGGCATTTATAGTCTCCTTCCTCACATAACTAGCTGTAAAACACTCAGAAGAAGTCATATAAGGCTAGGTTGTGAAAGAAAATAATCTTGACACTCAAGCATGGGAGAAGTCCAAAGAATAAGTCTATTCTTTGCTAAATGAAATCTCCTTCATAGATACTCCTCCCCCTTTCTTTGTTCCACTGTGCATCTTTCATTTGAAAGGTAAAGTTCTTAATTAAAATAACTTTTATAGAAGTGTAAAAATAAATTAAATAAGATAATTTGAGGTTAAAATTAAATACGTGTTTTTGTCAAATGATAACATTTTGAGAGTATGCTAATCAAGTCATAGATTGGGATAAAATATCTGCAGAACTCATATGTGAGAGAGCTGTTGCCCTTAGGATTGCAGTGCATCCAGGATAAATATTTATGTACAATTCAATAATAATAAGAATTCAAACACTCAATAAAAAAGGGTAAAATAATTTAACCAGACAATTCAAAAGAAGATAAATATGTGAAGAATAAGATTGTGAATCAGTATCACTAGTTTATTATCAACAAAGACAGCAAAAAAATGCGAATATGTACTAAAACATACAGATCAGAATTTATAAAATTGAAACTAAGAAATGGTATCAAGTATTGGCTGTGATATAATCCAGCTATACCTGTCACACATAACTGATGCAAGTTTAAAATTTGCTGAGTTAACCAGGCATGGCAGGGTACGTCTGTCATCCCAGTAATTTGCAGGCTGAGGAAAGAGGCTGAACCTGACTTGGGTAAGTTTAGGCTATATAATGAGTTTAAGGTCAGCCTAACCTGCCTATTTATATGCCTTCTCTCTTCAAACCAAAACACACACACACACACACATACAAGGACATACACAGAACAAAGTAAAGAAAGAAAGAAAGAAAAAGAAAGAAAGAAAGAAAGAAAAGAAAGAGAAAATGGAAATCTATTATTGTATATGGACAGAGGCAAAAAGAGTAGAAACTGAATGAAATCTTTATTACGGTAAGTGTTGTGAGGGGTTCCAAGGTTTATACACATTTCAACACTCATGAAATTGGGCATTTTACATACATGCAGTTTCATGTACTTCAACTGAATTTCATTAATCCATACATATTGATTCTTCAATAAAGTTGAAATTATTTTCTAAAACCAAAAAAATAAAAGATCTTTTGGTGCTTTTGTTGGATTTGCATTAATTTTTTAAAATAATTGCAATGAACTGGTATCTTTAAATGTCGAGTCATTCCTTGTAAAAAAAAGGCAACACATCTTCAGCTCAAGTTATGGTTTATACACTTCAAAGTACTCAAATGTTTCCCTCATATGGGATTTTCATATTTGTAAAACACAATCACATGTATTTTACAATTTTGCTGCAATTGTGAAAAAAATATTTACCTGTTGTAACTAGTTATATTTGTGTATTGATTTCTGAATGTTAGTTTAATTTTTGTTACCTTACTGAATTCTCCTTATTAGTTTTGTCATTAAATCTCTATAAATTTAGAAGTAAGCTATTATATCATCTATAACTAGGATATTTCTTCTTTTAATTCTCATGTTCCCAATTGGTTTTTTCCAATTGCACTAACAGTTATGATGGGTTGGAGCACATACTTCCTTTCTTCCATGACTTAGAAAGACATCAGGGTCCCATGAAAATAAATAAAGAAATGAAAATAAAGATTTTAATATGCTGAATAAAACAAGTAAAAACATATTAAAGCATGATCAATAAAATTATCATTCTTGTTCTCTAGATATTTTTTCTTCTCTTTTCCTTTTTTTCTAAGTGGATTTATGTTTTTTCCTCAAGTATTAATGAATGATACTGTGGACCAGGTTGCATGTCTCCTAACATTCATATCAGTAGAAAATTCAGTAACTCCTTAATAACAGGTATTCAGTAAGCAAGCTGGGATCATTATGAAGAAAATAACTCTGAAAATAATCTAAACTCCCATTCCTTTTCTATCATACTAACAAAATTAAATACCTAAAATTCACTTTTTTATCAAAAGATAAGAATATTAATACTTTACAAAATTCTTTTTCATTTTATTGATAACATGGAATCTAGTGTAGATTGAAAGCATTTTTTAAAATGTATATTTGGGTTTTGGGCATAGCTCATTAAGTCAGTAATACAGCACTTGCCTAGCATATTGGAGGCCATTGTTTGGATTTTCAGCAAGGCCAAAATCTTAAATACAATAAAGATTGTATTTCAATTGAAACTATTAATCTCTCCTATCTATCAATCTTCAAAAGCAAGATTCATCTTCCCATCCAGACCCTCCTCAGTGTTTTCTTCACATCCTGGTTCCACAGACTATATATCAGCAGATTCAGCATAGGGATCGCTGTGGTGTAGAACACAGAGGACACCTTCTCCTGGTCCAGAGAGTTACATGAAGGAGGCTTGAAATACACGTAGGTGATAAACCTAAAGTAGATCCTTACAGCCATGAGATGAGCACTGCATATTCCAAAAGCTTTGGACCTCTCCCCTGAATACTGGATGGGAAGGATGCTGAAGAAGATGAAGGCGTAGGATACAGCAACAGAAAGAGTGAGCACTAGTGTGTTGAACCCAGCAATGATAAAAAGTAAAAGCTTATTGAGGTGTGTGTTGGAGCAGGAGAGATTGAGGAGGGGAAGAACATCACAGAAGTAATGACTGATGATGTGGGATTTTCAGAAGTTCAGTTGCATCATGGCACTTGTATGGGCCACAGCAGACAGAATGCCCAGGATGAAGGAAACCAGCATTAGCACAGAGCAGAGCCAAGATGACATGATCACATTGTCCAGCAGTGGGTTACAGATGGCAGTGTAGTGATCATATGCCATGGCAGTCAGGAAGTAACCCTTAGCTACCACAAAGATCACAAAGAAAAAGAGTTGGGCCATGCACTCAGAGTAAAGGATTGTATTCTTCTTCCCAAGGAAGTTCACCAGCATTTTGGGGGTAATGTCAGAGGAATAACAGAGATCAATGAAGGACAACCTGCCAAGGAAAGAGTACATGGGAGTGTGAAGTAGAGGGCTGAGGTCAATCAGGAGCATTCTGCCCAGGTTCCCCACTACTGTCATCCCATAGATCTCCAGGAACAAGAGAAAGAGGGGCAGATGGAGCTCTGGTTGCTGATTCAATCCTACTAAGACAAATATGATAACTATAGAATGATTTCTGGTGGCCATTATTTATTGGAAATTTCTGTGTAAATGGAAAATATGAATGACATTAAAATGGACCTTCAGTACTCTTCCCCAACCCTAACAAATGATAGCAAAGCTGCAGAAGTGAGGGTGATCAAACAGGAAGACTCAATCATGGTTTTCCTTATCTGTGATCCTCACTGTCTTCTCCTTCTCCCTAAATCAACTGGAACTTCTCCCAAATTGGCCCAAATTTTAGACAACAGCATTGTTCCCTGACTGAGTTGGAAGCCTCCATCTCATGAAATCTGTGGCAAAAATAAACTTTTGATATAATAAGAATTACTGTTAGCCATTTGTTGAAAATTAAATAGGAGAAATTAGTGACAAATTATTCTAATCACGATCCATTTCCCCAGTTTTGTCAAGCTCTAAGACCTGTAAGCATCTCCCACAACATGTGGAACTGCAGAGGGAATGAAGCATCAGCCACATAGCATTGAAAACCATTATCTCTCCATACCAGTTTTAGTCAGGGTGGCTAAGAGATTCGGTTTACGTCATCTAATTTTACTACACTGCATGAGAATGTCTAACAATCCAAGGTAAGGGTACTGTGAAGGACTCATCTGACATATTCATCTGACATATTTATCCTCTGCATTAAGTTGGCAGGTTGGAGCTTTAACTCTGTGGTCCCTAATGAAGCACAGGCTCCTATAAATCAAGTAGTCAGCAATAAAATTCATAGTGAGAATCTCCTCAGTCTTTCTTCCCAGAAAAGTTGCCTGTCTGGAACACTGGCAGTGAACTAGTGTCCCCATACTAATGAGAGCCCACACCGATTAAACATCCTGTAGCTGGCAGGACATGGTGCTTCTGAGGGTGCATGAAAAAAGGTTGTTATTGATGTAAACCTTGAACTGTTTTGATGCTTGGTATTCATGATAGTTTTGGTCTTGTGGTTCTTTTCCCCCTAAATGAAGTACTGGAATCTAGTTGGTCCACACTTTTCACCATGAACAAGTTCTCTGATGGAGCTATTTCAGCATATGTGTGTGCTGTCAGGGTCCTAACTATTCTATTCTTCCATCTAGAAAAGGCAAGCAGAGTTTATAATGATTCTCCTACTCATCATCCCCATCCTCTTATTCCTCCTCTTCTTTCCATCTCTCTTCCTGTTTGCACATCACTTGCATACTTTACATACATTAAATCGCTTATTTATTGAACAATGATTGAAGTAGTAAGAATTATATATATGTATATTTATATATATGTATATTTATATATATATAAATAAATATATATAAAAATATATATATGTATATATTTTCTATTTTGCATGTTAAGAACCTGGGTTTCAGAAACTTTCACAGTCAGAATTTCAGTCCATGGAGTACAGTGCCAGAACTCCCTGTTTTCCCTCTAGTATTTTCCCTTAGCAGATGTTCAATCTTTACCATTGAGGGCAAAAAAGCAAGGACTCCAACTCCTCCCCAGGTTATCTTGCTTCACACAGTAGCCACTCTTAAGGAAGGGGTGGTGGTGGGAACACAGGACCCTGATGCAGGGATATAACACTGAGACCTTGGCAGGATGATATGGGACCCTGGCTACCTTGCTGTCAATCCCCTCTGTTCTGGCTGATAGGTATGTGCACCAACCACCCATTGATTGAGATAAGTGATTAGAGAGTGACAAAGGTGGCTGGGGAGGTAGGCATGACCTTTTAATTACAAGATCTCAGACACATGAAAAGAACAGTTCCCAAAGCCCTGAATGTGGACTTCTCCCAATAACTTGAGCAGATTTCCCATAGAATGGCCTAGAACTGACATCAGCCTGAGGCTTGGGAACTAAGCATCAACTCTTGGACCCATTTGTAAAAGTTTTTACGAGTTTTCTAGAGATTTGAATAGCATAAAAAGAGAGATAAGTCTTGAAAAAGTTGCTATCCTAACTTTCCAAGATATTTTTGCTTTTACCCTTTTTTCTCTTTACTTGGTACAAGCTGGCCTTGCAGAGCCAGCTTCTCTCTTATTCTTCACTTTAACTTTCTTTTTTGCCATTAATTTTATTGGTACCTTTAATGTATACAATATGCTGACATTTATTATTGGGAATTTGTACCTTTACCTAAATATATCTTGGTTCTTATTTTTGCCCCATTTCCCTGCCCTCTGTTCAACCCCTCTACCTCTCCCTACTTACAAAGACATTGTTTCCATTTTTTCACTTTCTCATATTTATTCTTTTCACTTCTTTCCTTTCCCCTACCCCTCCCATTTCTCTTCCCTTTGGACCTTTTCTTCCTATTTCTCATTATCTATTAAATATTTTGATGCTTATTTACACTTTCAGTATTTCACACTGGAGAAACTATTCGGTATTTACATATGTGTGTCCTATTTATTTCACTTAACAGTATGGCCTCAATGTGCATCCATTTATCTATAAATGTCTCTAGTTTCTCATTCTTTATGGCTGAATAGTACTCCATTTATGAAAAAAATCACACCTTCTTTATCCAGTCTGCAGTTGATGGGCAATTGGGCTGTTTACAAGTTTTAGCTATTAGAAACTGTGCCACTATGAACATGGATGAACATACATCACTGTGGTATGATTCTTTTAATTCTTTTGGGAAGATACACAGCAGGGGAATAGTTGGGTCAAATGGGACCTCTAGTCCTAGATTTTTGAGGCATCTCTATACTGATTTCCATAGTGATTTCACTGGTCTATATTCCCACCAATGGTGGAAAAGGGTTCTGTTTTCCCTAGAGCCAGGCCAGCATTTGTTATTGGTTTATTTATTGAGAGCAACCATTATTTCTGGGGTGAGGAGGAATCTCAGTGTTGTTTTCATTTGCATCTCTTGAATGACCAGTGATGTTGAACATTTTTTTCATATGTTTATTTGCTATTTCTCCTTCTTTGTCTGAGAAATGTCTGTTCATTTCAGGTGCTCATATTTGGACTAGGTCTTTAAATTTCAGAGGTCTGATTGTTTTAAGTTCTTTATAGATTCTAGATAGTAGAACTTTATCTGAAGAACAGCTGGTAAAATGTTTTCCCCACATAGTGGGTTGTCTGTTCATGCTGCTGGTGGTTTCTGTTGCTGTCCAGAAGCTTTTTAGTAAGAAGAGATACCACTTGGTGAGACTTTGTGCTGGTTCACATGTGACTGAGGTTTTGTTCATGAGATGTTTTCCTAAGCCAATGTCTTCCAGAGTTCTACCTTATCTCTCATCCAGACTGTTTAGTGTTTCTGTTTTAATACTTAGCACTGTAATTCATTTCGATTTTAGTTTAGTGCATGGTGAGAGATATAAGTCTACTTCTAAAGTATAATAAGTTGAAACCCAGGTTTTCAAGGATCATTTATTAAAGATGCTATCTTTCCTCTACCCAGGGTGTTTTGCTCCTTTGTCAAAGGTGAGGTGGCAGAGTGTGCCTGGAGTTGTTTCTGCATCTTCTAATCGGTTCCACTGATCCTTGAGTCTGTTTCTTTGCCAGTATCATGCTGTTTTTATCACAATAGCTTTGTAGTATAGTTTCACATTGGAGATTGTGATACCCCCTACCTTGTCTTTGTTGCCTAGAATTGCTTTTGCTTTTCTAGGTCTCTTCTTCCAAATGAATTTTTAGATAGGTTTCTCAAGGTCTGTGAAGTATGCTGTTGGAATTTCAATTGGGACTGCATTGAATCTATATAGCAGTTTTGGAAGTATGTCATTTTCACTACTGTGGGTTCTTCCTACCCAGGAGCATGGGATGTCTTCCCATTTTCTGATATCCCCTTAGATGTCTTTTTTCAGAGTGCCCTAGTTTTCAGAGTAGAGGTCTTTAATTTCTTCTGTTAGATTGATTCCTATGTACTTCTCTTTTTTTGATGCTGCTGTGAAGAGTGTTGATTTCTCCAGTTTCTATTTCAGTGAGTCCGTTTTTTTGTGTACAAGAAACCTATTGATTTTTGTGTGCTGATCTTGTATCCAGCTAGTCTACTGAATTTGGTTATTAAGTCTAGAAAACATTTGGTGGAATTCTTAGGGTTTCTTCAAATGATAATTTAACTTCTTAATTTCCTATTTTTATTCCTTTTATTTCTTTCTCTTGCCTAATTGCTGTGGCTAATGTCTCCAAAACTATATTGAACAGAGGTGGTGATAGTGGACATCTTTTCTTGTTCCTGATTTTAGCATGAAGGATTTCAGTTTTTGACAATTCAGTAGGATATTGGCTATTGGTTTTTCATAGATGGCTTTTATCAGGTCAAGATAGAACTGCCTATTCCAATTTTCTGTAGTTATTTTTATCATGAATATGTGTTGGATTTTTTCGAATGCTTCTTTTGGATCTATTGAGAATATCATATGGTTTTCTGTCTTTGGCTCTATTAATATAGTGCATTACATTTATTAATTTGCACATGTTGAACCATCCCTGCATCCATGAGATGAAACCCACCTGGTCAGGGTGTATGATTTTCTGCATTCTGTTTTCCAATATCTTACTGAGGATTTTTTCATTTATGTTCATCATTAGTGACATTGGCCTGTAATACTCTTTTTTTGGTTAGGTCTTTCTCTACTTTGGGGATCAAGGTGATTCTTGCTTCCAGGATTGAATTTGAGAGTACTGCACCCATCTCAATTTTATTGAAGAGTTTAAACAGTAGTGGCAATAGTTCTTCTCTAAACTGTCTTGTAGAATTCAGCAGTGAAGCCATCAGGGCCAAGGCTTTTTTTGTTGGTAAATTTTAATTACGTTTTCAATTTCCCTATTTGATATTAGGTTGTTTAGAATTTTTAGGTCTTCTTTGTTCAACTTTGGTAATTCATATGTATCTAGACATCTGCCAATTTCTTTGGTGTTATCCATCTTATTGGAGTATAGGTTCTTTTTTCTATTAATTTTATTGGTACATTTTAGGTATACAATATAATGATATTCATCATTGGAGACTTGTACCTTTACATAATATATCCTCATTCTATTTTCCCCCTTCTTCTGCCCTCCTTTCAATCTCTCCACCC